CGCGTGTAAAACGACAAATCACGATTGGTCCGTTACGGTCAATATGAACGTCCAGGCCGCACGCCGAAGCTCGGGAAAACGGTCCTTCGCGGGTTTTAACAGTTTCGCCCGCGGTAAACGGGGTCTCGGGTTTCGGACCCCGCCGCATTCGAGCGCGGGCCAACCCGTGAAGAATATATGCGGCGTCTTGTCACGTGGCCGTTGCAGTATTAAAGGCCGACGGCGATTATATAAGTAGTGAACCGAGCCGTCTCGGTTGCCGTCCGCGCGGATCCGGGGGACAGTGGCGCAAATACCGGGCGTGCAAACGACCCGTGACATTTAGGGGCATTTCGAGGCATTCGTGAACGGGGTTTTTTTTTTTTTTTTTTTTGCTGCTACGGAATATTTCGCCACGGCCGTCGGAAGTTCTGGTTACGTCACCGATCCGGGTGGGGGGGGGGCCGCGACCCCGGGCGACGATATTGCAACGGACGAATCGGTAAAACCGCCGGCCCCGAGCCGGTCGCGTCTGGTATACCCGCGGAGGTGTTTCGATCGAATAACCCCGGGCCCGGGGGCGACGGTCGCGCGCGTGTCCGTCGAGGTTGACCCGCGTCCCGGAAAACGGGAAAACGACGCGGCACGACGGGCAGCCGAATTCAATATCTCACGCGTCTGCGGGGGGGGGGCGCGGTTTAAACCGTCGCCGAATTGATTAGGGCCTTTGCGTGCGCGACGCGCGTGTCGCCGGCGGCTCGCGTTCTGCGCCGCGCGCGTACGCCAGCCGACGTATGAAGTATGCGACGTGATAAATATTGCACGCGTTTATTTATTTAATACGCGCGGTATACAGGGTGTTTGACGGCGCTCGCGCGGTATACAATATATACGTGTGTGTAATACGTGCGTACGAATGTCGGCGGCTGACGGGCGGGGTGGGGGTTGGGGGGGGCCATAAATCAATACCCGGTCGTGATGTATACGCGCGTATATATACGTAACGCACGAAGGTTGTGTATGCACCGCGGCGGCGGCAGAACGGGGAGGTTTCGCGTGTGTATAAAGGGCCGCGCGGCGTCGCTCGACGAAAACGGGGTGGGGGTGCGGCGCGGGGGGAATGCTTTGTAGGCGGCGATGGCCAGGGTTCAGCGCGCGCGCGTGTATATATATATATATATATATATATATTTATATATATACGTATATATTAACGTTCGGCAAACGAAACAATGCTACAAGGCAGCGTGTGCTGCGTGCGCGCCGCCGAAAATCGTCAAAATACCTCTCGAGCTATTCGGCGCCGCGCTAAACCCTACCCGCCCGCTCGGCCCGCGCGTATTTGCGAATTATAGCCGTTTGATTGCGCGCGCGGAGCTCGCGACCGTCGAGCCGGCGCGCCGTGTATGCAGACCGGATCGCGCGTACGGTAACATACGTGCGTACGTATGTACGCGCGTTGCATGACGCGCCGCCGTCCCCCGCGGGTAATCGAATTCCCCGTCCGCGTACCGTTCCGCCGGGGAATTTATACCCGCGACTCTCCGCCGTTGTTTCAATCGACACGCCGCGATGACGACGCGTGGTCATCGCCGTTCGTTTATTTCGAATTCGCGCGTACGCCGACACGAACGAGTGGTCAGGGGGGGGGGG